GATTGCAGCCAGGATGGTTTTACACTGCAAAAAATACCAGTTAGTCCACATTCCTCAGCAAAGTCTTGCTGAGGGGAAACGATTTGCTAAGACAGAAATTGATCATTTCTGCTATCTTGTTGCTTGGTTTCAACTGGATAGAAATGTTTCTCACTGCTTCTAACTACTTAGCATAAAATCTAATGCTAAACTGGTAGCATTTGTGTCATATCTCAACCTCACCAATACCTCTTGAACCAGAAAGAAGAAAATCATGAGGAATAGATTTCAATAAATATTTTATATAGGGGGTTCAACTAATTTTAGGCAAAGGACTTAATATTTGTAACTTACATTCTTCCTCTTCTGCCACATCATCCTATTCTTACAAGACTCAGCCATGACGAGAACTCCTAAGTCACCAAGAAGTAACTGTTGAAAGGTATTCTGAGCTCCCAACTGCCTCTCAGGGAGGCAGCTACACACACATATAATATTGAAGAAAGGTTCTGTCTGTTCCAGGGTGGCATGCTATTAAAATGTTAATGTTCAATTTTTAACCTGAGGGTGTGAAAAAGAAAATACCTGCTAATGTGCTGGTGAGTAGAGAGTGGCAGATTTCCCAAGATATTTAATAATAACCACATGAAATCTAGGAGAAGAATGCAGACACAGATCTTTGATTTAAACGTTTATTACCCTGTAAGAACATTAGAGGTAATAAATCTCTTTTTTTTTCCTTTAAGTCTTAAAATATGAATTGTCTCAATTTAAAGTTACAAGAAAACTAAACTTTTGGAAATATGATAATTCACAGTTCAAGTAGCCAAATTAGCTTTTCTTCTACAGGGAAATAGGATCCTTTCTTTCCTGGAAAGATGGAAATGCACACCATAAGACATTACTTGTACTTTTTTTTTCACCCAAGCATTGCTCTGATACAGCTGGTTAAGAACCTAGCAGTGCACAGGAATACTGCAAGTGATTCTTTTCTTCAGCCTTCAGTGTAGTACAGAGTAAGTCATCTCTTCACTGAGACCAACTTGGAAAGACACAAATGGAATTCTTAAGAAAATGTAAACAATTCAGCCCTAAAACCCATTGTGCCAGAAACCTGCCATTACTACTTTCAGAAATTATTGTATGTGTGCTGTGTTTTTTTCTTACTGTTGTCAGGTCTAATCTCAGAGATGCCTCTTGATAAAAACACTTTTCAAAACCAAACTTCAATATACAATAAAGAGTATGATTTTTAAGTAAAGCCTTGGAAAAGACCCTGAACAAGAGCTAAACAGACATATTGCTACATCTGTAATTTTTTTTTGCAAAATTTTGCCAATTAGTCAGATAATATCAAGTCTTGCAATAGAAATCAGCAGTTAGATCACTCCTGATCCAAACACAAAGGGCTCAAAACTGGGTATTGTGATTAGAACTCCATCATGCATGAGATTGCTTTTCCAGAAAACCCATAACTTGGGATAGTTGCATATGAACTTCTTTGCCTCAGCAACAAGTCACAGAAGGGCCGATTTTGCAGTGTCCACACTAAGAGTAGAATGTTCGTGCACATCTTCTCTGTGCATGCCTACATTTGCAAAGCAACACTGAAGTTTAGAGAGGAACACTTCAACATAACAGAAAGGTTAGTACAGGTCTAGTAATCTAAAGTATTTGTATAACAATAGACATGGGCTTCAAGTTCACTGTAACAGACCAGTAAATCTGGCTGTAGACGAGTTGCTTATTTTGACCCCCTTCCTTCTCCAACACTGATCTATTCTGGCTTTTCTGTTTTTTGATACGCATATAAAGTTAAAAAAAAAAAAAAAAAAAAAACAAAACCACAATTTCCTGTTCTTGTAGAAGCTCAAATACACATAAGAACATTATTTGAGTTGAAAAATCCTGATTATGAACACAATCCAAATCTAGTTTCTCATCTAAATTATGCAGCTAGCAACAAGAACTTGCATGTTTTAAGATATTTCCTAAACAAGCCTCAATTCTGAAATATTTTCAAGCCACCTGGCTGAAAACCACATGCTATTGATCAGAGGCATTCCAATGAAGTTTAAAAAGTATTTCTATGATAACTTTACAATAAATAACTGAAATAGGGGAGAATTCTACAAACATAGGCATCAGTAAAGGAAGCATATGAAAGGAAATAACAATTCTGCATTGTTACAGTAGAGTAGGATAATTCTTTTTCCTTGTGCAGCCATTCAATATACATTAGGGAGTCTTATTTATTCTTCCAAAAGAAGAGTGTTATTGTCTGAGAGAAAATGTGAACTTAAGGACAAGAACACAGAGCACTGGTAAGCAAATTAGTCCTGTCCAGAAGAGAAGGAAGAGGCACAATTAATTGTTATATCCCACACCCCAGCCGAATGAGCAGAATGCGATATAGCTAAATATTTCTGAAGCCGAGATGCTTGCACTGTGCTCATGATCTCATAAAATGAAGCATTTTTTATGAAGATAATAGTAGAAACTGACATACCAGACTTGCAACCTATGTGAAAAAGCTTATTACCTACACATATACTGCCCATTAGCAGAGATCAACAGTAGAAGCAGTACACTGGTAAACTTTTCACTTCACAAAGTAAAACTGAAAACAGATCTTACTGTTTTATAACAAAGAGCACTACATGGGTAGCCTGTTTACAAAGCAGGGTAGGCCAAAAGGCATCTTCTGAAGATTTCACTGTACACTTCCAGATTTGAGCCAAAGAAAGCAAAAGGCACCTCTGCTTCTCACTGGATTGTCATATCTGGGAAAAAAAAAAAAAAAAAAAAAAAACAAAAAAAACAAAAACAAAAACACTGAATTAGACAAAACAAATTTTTCTAGCTACTCTAAAGAGAGTAGAAGAATTGTGGAATCAAGCAAGGAAATCTAGGATCTCTACAAACAAGTTTGCTTTCTTCATTTTCAAAACTGAAAGTATGTATTCAGTAGAATTAATTTGTGCTTATGTGGCTGTTTTCTGGCATCCCTGTTTTGGCTAAGGCAACGTTCAGGTAATGCAACCCTGAAAGGGAAACTGGATACTAAATTCAGACCTGAAAAGCTTATTGCAAGTAACTGAGAACCATGCACTGTGTCATTTCCATCAAAGAAAATACAAGACTCAGAGGAGGATAACACCTTATCAAAGCACTTATCACTCATCACAACTGTTGGATGGACAAGACTATGGTCAATAATAAGGGATGATGATATGACACAGAAACGTAACAGAACTATTACATAGTGAAGGTTTACAAGCAGGTCCGCAGATATCCTCAACTAGGAACTGGGCAGGAATTTAGGGCTCTAGGAGCAAACACATCATTGGCTTAGAAGCATGTATATATAGAAATATGCAGACTTGTTTAATTTGTCTTCATGCAAATCAATGAGTACTTTATGCATTTTGTTGGTGATGTAGAGGACTATTTTTTAGACCTGAAAAATCATCTCAAAATTAACAATATACTTTTGCTATCAAAGGCACGAGTATGTCAGATTAACATAATTTTAAGGAATACAGTGATGTGTAATTCACTTCTGTTCATTCCAAATTAAATATTCTGAAAGTAAGATAATTTTAAAACATAATAGATTTGTTTCATATATAAGATTATAAAGCAGTGAAGTTTCTCTGACAAAATGGATTGTTGGAACTGAATGGGTTAATGTCATTGTTAAAGTAATAGGGTCAGCAGGAACATAACTGGTCTATATGCAATAGTATCAAAATACAGTAAGGACAAAGATCCCGTCAGAGACTATACTTAGTTTCCAGATGCATTAGAATTGATCATATTCTCCAGATTCTTTAGGAGATAACACCCTCAAAATTCAAGATTCCTAGCATGTTCTTCAGTAAGGAGCCAGCTCTCTGCATGTATGCAACTGAATTGCTAAAATCCCATTTCAAAGAACTGCTAGGGGCAGGAATGCACATGAAAATCATACTTTTCAGTGCTTAAAATTCAAAATCATTTAAGTAGGATCGTAGCACTAAAAGTCTTTTGGATGACTGAATGTAGTTGCTTAATATTCCAGGTAAGTACACATTTAATAAGTGCACCAAAATACATGTGCAGACATCAACATCACACTCACTCTCTAATAACATCTAAAATTTTTATTTTTGTCTTTAATTTCCTTATGACCATCATTAGATCTTATCCTAGCAAAATTCCTTAGGTCTCTCCATCATTCCTTCTTCCTCATTGAGTTAACTGACAGCAATTCTTCTAGTTGTCACCACAGTTTTCATAAAACTAAGCTAAATGGTAGAAATTCTCAATCCCTCCTCCTATTTCAGTCAAATTTTTTTCTGTGTGTGTGTGTGTGTTCAAGACTGAATTAATTTTTGCTAAGTGAATGGGACAAGAGTTATACATCTGTAGGGAACAAGAATTATACAAATATTTGAATCAGAAATTTAAATTCCCAATTATTTAAGTAGTAGTCTAGAAATTAAATTATCCTTATAGTTTTTATTGCTTTTATCATGTCAGACAATGCAGAACTTTAAAAAAATTGCACCTACAATTCAGTGGGACTGGGTACAACGCTCTACAGAAAATTGTAGAATGGTCTGGGTTGGAAGGGACCTTAAAGATCACCTAGTTCCAACCCCACTGCCATACAAAAGTCAAACTACTTAAAATAGAATAAAGATTTGAATCTTTAATAAAGATTTGAATCTTTTTTTACCAATTAAACACGTGGCTCTACACAATTAAGCTTCTTTTAGTATGGTGTACTGTAATTCTTAAGACTCATTTAACATTGGTGTTGTGGTTGAATCCAGCAGGCAGCTAAACATCACAGCTGCTTGCTCACTCCTCCCAACTGTTGTATGGGGGAGACAATTGGGGAAAAAATAAAAATAAAATTCATGGGTTGAGATAAAGATTGTTGGGGAATGGCTCAGAGATAAGGGTCCTGTGCCTTTAGCCAGTAGATTGTAAGCCTGCATGACTAAGTTGTGCCTTGTCATGTATTAAGAAAATCTTTGAATGAACGTTAGCGCGGGCTCTGATCATACAAAAAGAAAAAGGGGGAATTGTTGGAGAATGGCTCAGAGACAAGGGTCCTGAGCCCACCGAGCAACTGTATGATCAGAGCCCGCGCTAACGTTCATTCAAAGATTTTCTTAATACATGACAAGGCACAACTTAGTCATGCAGGCTTACAATCTACTGGCTAAAGGCACAGGACCCTTATCTCTGAGCCATTCCCCAACAAAAGACAGTTTAGTAGGACAGAAAAAGATGGGGAAATAATAACAACACTACTATACAAAGCAAGCTATGCACAATGTAGTTGCTCACCATCTGCTGACCAATGTCCAGCCATTTCCTGAGCAGTGGTCCCTGAGCAGCTTTCCCCCTAATTTATATACTGAGCATGTCATCACATGGTATGGGATATCCCTTTGGCCAGTTTGGGTCAGAATTTCTGGCTGTGCCTCCTCTCAGCTTGTGCACCCAAGCCTACTCACTGGTGGGGTTGTTCGAGAAGCTGAAAAGTCCTTATCTTAGTGTAAACACTGTTTAGCAACAACTAAAAGATCAGTGTGTTATCAACATTATTCTCATCCTAAATCCAGAATACAGCACTATACCAGCTACTAGGGAGAAAATTAACTTGATCCCAGCAAAACCAGGACAACTGGATAAGTGGTAGTGGTAGATATCTGATGAGCAACAGCTGGGAGATATTCTCTATTTCTGTATTTCTTCACTTCTAAAGTAAGAGTCAGGATTTAGTCAATTAATGAAGGACTACCAAATAGGATTAACAGAGCTCCTAAGGGCTACCGAGCTTACAGTTTAGTCCTCTAAGATTGGAGCTTCTAGGTGAGATACCAAACATCCTCCTCCACTACAGACAGCAGCAAGCGCTTATCTGTTTTAGCACATTTCTTGTAGCCTCCTTTTACACTGTGTCTCTTGAACTACATGTAGTTCTGGTCATGTAGTTGAACATACTGAATCAGTGAAATTGTGCCTAAAGAGGGTATATACAGGTGATGAAAGTAAAATGGTACCAAAGTGTTTTCTTTACATCAGGGTACACTCTTGCCATTGGCTTATAGCCAGAAAGTTTAATTTTATTGCAACGTCACCTAGCTCTTATGTTATTCCAACATCTGGGACTGATATGACCTCAAACACATTCCCTTTAAGTAGAACAATTTTTGTCTACAAACTGCTTCTAGATTACTCTAGGAAACTGGTATCAAACTAGTGTTAATAGCACTGTTACACTAAGAAACATATGGATGGATTCCATATCTGTGTGGATTAGATACAAATGACATCCAATTCAATGAAACTAGCTATATTTTACATTGATTGGAGTAGACACAGCTCTGCAGATGGTAAATTAATTTTTTGTTCAAATACTTCAGCAAACTATTGGAGCTTAAATATTTTACAACACAACCATCATAGGAACAAAGGAAAAGGAAGACCTATTTCCTCAGCAGGGAAATAATTTCATCCAAGCTGAAGTGGGTTTACTTGATCCTCAGAGAACGGGTTTACATTACTTGATCTTCCAAAAATATGCACTCATTTCAGTTTTAATTTTCTGAAAGAGTAATTTTTTAAAATACACAACTAATGGGGATTAGCTATATCGCTTTCCAAACTACACATAGCATAAGAGCCCTGTGATGTAAAAAATAGATTAATCCTAATAAAAACATTTGTTCTGTCTAAAAAATTAGTTATTATTCCCTAGGGTTATATTCAGTACAGAAACCAGAGTTGGATTGTATTGGATACAATACTTCAATACAGATCAAGAAAGTGAAGCTACAGTGCAGAAGTCTATATAAAGTAGTGGAAGATGTATGGTGAAGTTCCAGCAGTTTGAACGTGTAAGTACAATGCTTCCAGACGTTCTCTTCAAAGATAATTTTATAGCTTACATATACATTCTGACAGAAATCAAACAAAATCTAATGAAATAGTAGGCTCTTTCTTTGAAACTTTGTTTTCCACTGTTGTACAAGTTGCCTAAAAATGTGATAAAACTATTTCACAACTCATCTCCCCAGATAAACTACTGATGATTCCAACTAAAGAACTGATGAATGTATCAATTCAGTAAAAAAAAAAAAATGTTTCTTTTCATACTGTAAACCATATACTTTTAACAGAAATTCTTGGAATTCAGATCTTTCCATTTTCTGTTACTTGAAAAACATAGCCATACCATTACCTTTCCTTTTAATTTCATGGACAAATAGAATAAAATTATTTCTGAAAGTTTAGAAAAGTTTTTATTTATCTAAAAATGTGATCATTCACTTTGATAAAATTAGTAAAATCACCTTAAACTTAGTAGAAAGTTTCAGATTCACTAGGCAAATTTCGTATTTCTTTAACCCAATAAATCTTTATTATAACTTCTGCTCTTACAAGGTCAGAGGAAAATAAACAAATTTGAGGTAAAAAAAAAAAAAACAACAAAAAAAAAAATCAAACTTTATAAAATTATGAGGTTTTGTTGATAAGTAATCCTTTTCATTTCATATTCAGAAAAGGAAACTTTGAAAAGTCTTCATTAAAAGGCAGTATTTAGTTATCTTTAGATAACTAGGGGAGTGCCAATATAAGCCATTTTAACTATTTTTCACCTAATCATTTGTCTAAGTTATTCATAAATGGTAGTACTACACGTATTGTTGAATACTTTTGTTAGGGTTCTTTAGTCAAAAGCTGACTGCTTTGAATATTCACTACACTAGAAATTCTGGTGACTTTGTTTAAAAAAAATCCCATACTTATTACAATACTTTTTAATTGTTCTTTGTAGCAAATGAAAGGTAGATAATTGTTTCCTAAAAAATAAAAACTGTGTGATCTTACTGGGTAAAGAGGTGAGACTACCTGTCCTTGCTTCTATGTTCAGTAGGCTTCCTTTTTGTATTTGACTTTGCCCAGAAGCTCCTTGTTCATCCATGCAGACCTTCTGCAAGAACATGGAGTTCTATCCTGACTTCCTCTTTGCCGGGGTGCATTGCTCTTTATCTTGGAGGTGATCCCTGAATAGCAACCTGCTTCCTTTGGCCTCTCTTCCCTACAGGGTTTTATCCCATGCTACTCTGATAAGAAGATCCCTGAAGTGGCCAAAGTCTGGTCTCCTGAAGTCCAAGGTAGCAAGCTTCCTGTGCGCCTACCTTGCTGCCCTAAGGATTTTGAACTCCACCATTTCATGGTCACTGCAGCCAAGACTGCCCTTGAGCTTCACACTCCCCACCAGCCCTTCCTTGTTGGTGAGAACAAGGTCCAGCATAGCACCTCTCCTTGTTGGTTCCTCTACCACTTGGAGAAGGAAGTTACCACCGGTGCATTCCAGGAATCTCCTGGATTGCTTATGTCCTGCTGTGTTGTCCCTCCAACAGATATCTGGGTGGCTGAAGTTTCCCCATGAGAGCCAGGGCTTGTGAACACGAGGCTATCCCTATCTGTCTACAGAGGGCATCATCTGCTCAGTCTTCCTGGTTGGGTGACCTGTAGCAGACCCCCACTATGTCTCCCATTTCTTCTTTCCCTTTAAGCCTGACCCATAAACTCTTGCTTGGCTCCTCATCCATCCCCAGGCAGAGCTCTATACACTCCAGATGGTCATTGACATAGAGGGTGACACCTGCTCCTCATGTCCTCTGCCTGTCCATCCTAAAAAGCCTGTATCTTTCCATTCCAACAGTCCAGCTATAGGAGCCATCCCACAATATCTTCATGACGACAATAAGATCACATCCCTGCAGGCATGCACACATCTCTAGCTTCTCATGTTAATTCCTGTCAGACTGAACTATTAATTGTTTGTCTTGAGTGCTGTCTCAAAGACTGCCTGCCTGAAAGGCCACAGAGATAGTGCTGGTGAGAGATACCTCACCAACAGCTGAAAGACATTCTGGTGCATATGCTGGAATGGAGAGGACCCACATTCTTGTGTCATATTGCTATGGAAACCACAGACTCAAATAGGGATAAGAGGGGTTGTTGAGATGAGTAGCAAGATCGTGCTTCAGAGGTGAATGATCCACAAAGAGATTCATGGTGGTAACTATCCTTGCAACTCTATTCCGACAGCTTGCTTGACTACTGCCTTTTCCTTCCATTCCATCATATTGCTACCTCCTTTGATAAAAAAAAAAAAAAAAAAGCTGTTTCTAGTGTACAGCATTTGACCTTGTTTGTGTCTGAATCTTGTTCCTGAGATCATATCAAAACCTCCCCCAACACTGGATCGGGACAATTCCCCGTGCTACATGTATTTGCACAGAGTCATTGAAGTCGGGCCCCCAATGAAGATGACTGCCTGGAATTTCTTTGTGCTGCTATTCAGGTGCTCTCCTGCTGACCTGTGACCTGTCTCCAGGCTCTGGGCATCTATGGCCAATACTGGCATCAAGCTGGTAGGAGCCGGATGGATTGAGGTTCCCCTTTCCCAGCAACCTTAGTATAAAGACCTCCTCACCAGCTTGGCAAGACTATGACCGAAGATGCTCTTCCTCTTCTCTGACAGATGGACCCCATCAGCCCCCAGTAGACCAGGTTTCTCAAAGCAAGTCCCATGGTTTAAGTAGCTGGAACACTCAGTTGTAGCACGAGTCTCATAACCAACAGTCAATCTGCCAAATTCAAGTGGCCCTTTCAAGCCTCTGACAAGGAGAATTAGTGAAAAAACTATTTGCACACAAGTCTCTTACAGGCACTCCCAAGGCTCAGTAAATCTTGATACTTCTCACACTGCTCCTGACTGTATCTTTGGTGCTCACATGAAACGACAGCAGCAAATAGTGGCCACCGAGAGACTGCTGAGCCTTGTAGAGGCTCTACAAGGCTCAGCAGTCTCTCGGTGGCAACCCTGACAAAAAAAAAAAAAAAAAAAACACAAGCAGTGCACCCCTCTATAGAGTGTCAGATCAGAAGACGGGTGCCTCCATACCTCTCAGAAGAGTGTCACCTATCACCTTTTCTTAGTTGCACTGGTTGTTCTACAGGGAGTAGATCGGGCTGCCTTACTCAGCTCCAGCACCTCTCCTGATGTGACAGGTCTTTCCTCTTCAGTCTGCAGAGCAGTGAAATGATTCTGCAAGGTCACTTCAGGCTTTGGGGGAAGTCTCTTCCACCCCTAGGTCCTTGCCATTGCAAGCTTCCATTCTTCTTCATTTTTGACCCCCTCCCTTCCGTATGTGTTGGCTGGGTAGTTTTCAGCAGTTTGGCTGTGGGTCCAGTTGGAACCAGCTATGTAACTCATTCTCAGCCTACCTAATATTACACAGCCTTCTCCCTGCCTCCTGCAGCTCAGCCACCTACTGCAGGAGCTCCTCCACCTGGGCACGGCTTTTACGGGCAGGTCTGCAGTTTGTCTAGTCCCCAGAAGAAACGTCCAGACACTTCCCGCAGCCTGAGACCTGCACTGCAACAGCTCCCTTCAGCTTATCCATCTGGGTAGAGACATCTGTCATCACCAGGACAGAGGGTGTAGACCCCTCAGCCAGAGCTGCAGCCTTTGCTCTCAAACTAGTGCCCCCCATTCTGCCTTGACGGTCAGGTAAAGCAAGTGCCCGCAACCTGCGCGGATAGTCACAGAACGGCGCCCCATTGCTGGGTTAGGCGAACTTTAAGCCTCTCCACTCGGCCGGTAGAATGCCCCTCCTTCGAAGAGACCCCCCTCTCTGAGCGCCTTTCCGCGCAAACTGCCGCGCCACGCCCTGACTGCCGGCTCTGATCACCGCCCCGCCTGGCGCTCCCCGCTGTGGGAGCGGCCGCCATGACTCCAGGCCACGCCAGCGCCCCGACAGCCGCTCTCTCGTGAGCGCTGCCGGCTCCCGGCGGGCCTCCGCGCTCCCCTGAGGTTTTCCCGCCTCCGGAAACCTCCCCTTGAACGCCGCGATCGACCCTCGACCCCCGCCACGGAACGTACTTACCCCGGAGCTGACCGCCTCAGCGAGTGACGGTTGATGGCGGTTAAACCTCATTTAAATCTGCCGCCGTTACTCCTGGCCCCGCCCACGCCTCGTCAGCCACTCTCGTGACAGCTGCCGGCTCTGGGCGAGTTTCCGCGCGCACGTGGGGGTACCCCACCAGGAAATACGCTTTAAAGAGCTTCATAACTTGTTTATAAAAAACTCCATTAGCTGGGCTGTTGCGTAATACAGAAACAAGTGTTCTTCATCATACATTTTCCTGGCAGCAGACAAAGATTAGCACTGAGCAGTAAACTGAGGACAGAAGGGTATTCCAACTGTAAAAACTTACCTTCTAAGACTGGAACAATGCTTTCATCCTGCTCTTAGATATGGAAAGGTTTCTGTCAGGTACAGGGACCCAAACATAAACAAAGCAGCAGTTTATGGAACTGAATGGTGTGTGCTGGAGTACAGATGCAATACAATGGGTTTGCAGGTGCTTTCAGTTCCAGTCCTGGTACTATTCAACTCTACTCCAGTGCACTGTGGAAGGCTATGCTGACTCTAAAATCTGCATTATCTTCAAATCTGCCCTGTAAAACCCTATACATATTTTATCTGTATAACAAAAACTGTATTACTCAGATTATCAATAGATATATTAATAGGGTTAATTTAAGACAGAAGCTTTTATGCAAAAACACATTAAAGGATAAGAAGGTAGAAGAGATTCCTTCTGTCTACCCAATCCTAACCCTAACTTGTACTTCTTCACTTTACATGAAGAGGACTTCATGTTATTTAAGAGACAGATAGGTCATTTGTCAATCATTTTTCAGTTGCATTCTCTCAACATCCAGAATTGTCAGAACATCTTGATCTAGTAGAGATACTTGAATAACATCTAATCCATTATGGTATCATTTTTGTGTAGCATGTGGAACATTGGATTGTATTGCATACAGAACTCTTACTTGACTAACATACCACATGATGCAGATAAAGTTTAACAGCCAGAGTGCTTGTTAAAATTTGATTTACCTAGTTATCTACTTTAACCAAACAGATGCTGTTGGATTAGATGGCATGAAATTTAACAGGGCCAAGTGCAAGGTGCTGTACATGGGTCTGAGCAATTCCATGCACAAATACAGGCTGGGCAATGAGTGCATTGAGAGCAGCCCTGAGGAGAAGTACTCGGGCGTGTTAGTGGGTGGAAAGCTGACTGTGAGCCAGCAGTGTGCACTCACAGCCCAGAAAGCCAGTCGCATCCTGGGCTACATCAAGAGAAGTGTGTCCAGCAGGTTAAGGGAGGTGATTCTTCCCCCTCCACTCTGCTCACATGAGACCCCACCTGGAGGACTGTATCCAGCTCTGGGGCCCACAGAATAAGAAAGACATGGACCTGCTGGAGCAGATCCAGAGGAGGACCCAAAGATGACGAGGGGGCTGGAGCACCTCCTTTATGAGAACAGGCCGAGAGTTGGTGTTTTTCAGCCTGGAGAATGGAAGGCTCTGGGGAGACATTATAACCACCATCCAGTACTTAAAGAGGGCCTACAGGAAAGATGAGGAGGGACTCTTTATCAGGGAGTGCAGTGCTAGGATGAGGAATAATGGTTTTAAACTGAAAGAGGGTAAGTTTATATCAGATATAAGGAAGAAATTCTTTACTGTAAGGGTGGTGAGACACTGGCACGGGTTGCCCAGAGCAGCTGTGGCTGCCCCCTCCCTGGAAGGGTTCAAGGCCAGGTTGGACGGGGCTGGGAGCAACCTGATGTAGCGGAAGGTGTCCCTGCCCATGGCAGGGGGGTTGGAACTAGATGATCTTTCATGTGTCTTCCAGCCCAAGCCATTCTATCATTCTATCGTTCTATGGTTTTAAGCTAAAGTGCAAATGACACAAGTGGAAGATTCATGATATAGTGAAACATGATGATTTTCCTCATTTTATAGGTCTGTGGGTATAGAAAAAAAATTCCACTATGTAGCAGAATAAAATTTGCTACCTGTGTCAAATTTCAAACATCACTGCAGTTAAAAAAAAAAGGAAAAAAAAAGTAAAGTATAGCTTTTTAGATGCTGCAGTAGTTTTTAAAAACCAAACCTGACCGTGGTCAGAAGTGATTTAGTAATTTTGATTTCCTCAATTATGGTAATTTTCTTTAGAAAGGCTTATGCTGTCAGCTCTCAGGAAAGTTAATAGCTTAGTAGTCAGAGCACAGGTCCTACATCTGAGATATTCAGGGTTCCAACTCTAGGTTTGACCTCAATTCATCCTGTGAATTTCGAGAAATGACTTAGGAAGATCTTTCATAGTACTGGAGGGAATAAACGCTGCTTAAACTCAAACGGATTTTGCACTGTCTCTTAGTTTAGGCTTTATGTTTGGTTTGGCCTTTTTTTGATTTGTAGCCAGTTCTCTTATACATGTGACAAATTAATAAAATTTCTAAGGCTTTGAAATCAACACTAGTACTTCAATATCTGTAACATTATTCTCTGTTTTTGCTCTCTCAGACTATATGCATTTTCCACTGTCCAAAACTATTCTTAGTTATTACAGGACTATAATCTAAATATTGCCAAATAGTTTTCCTGAATTTTACTCATTCATGGTGTGTTCTCAAACTTCCTGCCAATAGCCCACCAATTTTCCCTCTCCATTTTATCAATGTTAGATAAGATGCCCCTGGCTTTAAGATTTATTGAGTTTGCAATGAACTTGGCTCTAAATTACCCAAGATCATTAATCACTAACTTCCTGATGTGATCCTATCTGGTACTGTGGACCTGCCTGGTATGTGGTTAAAGTTTATCCATTGTGTGTACAAGTTCTAAGTATCTAACTTGAATACAAACCTTTTTCTTTTGAACAATATGAAGTTCTGTGTTGTTCCCTTCAGTGAATATTTAACACTGAATCATGATTAGCCCACCACTTCAGATCACAAAGACAGGAAGTATCCAAGATGTTTATGAACTTCAGATGTATAGATTTTAAGCAGTAGAGTTCACATTCTTTATTAACAATGTTAAAGATCAGTGAAAATTTAAGGTGTTAGTCTCTGGATTTCACCTGAAAATTAAGTCTTAAAAATAGTCAGATATACATATTTTGATCTTCACCTTCACGACTGTACTTGTTCCATTTTGTTTCTGTTTCCATACTATGGCATCTGAATAAATCAGTTCAACATGATGGTCCAGACATTAGCAGTTTTCCAGACGGTACAGACATCTTACACTACTATTCTTGTTTGCTGAGGTAAAATATATCTTGCTAAGACGTTACCAGAATTCATATTCTTATTTGATGAATGTAACAACACCTTATTACTTCTCTTTCTATCAGTTTGTTTCAGAGAACTTGGCTTTTTTCTTAGCTGTAAGGGTTAATACAAGCACTTTTCTTAACTTCATGTTTTAATTTTTGTTTGTTGGTTTTTGTTTTTTTTTTTCATTTTTACTGTAAAAGTATGAACTTTTAGAGTTGCTAACTAAACAATTTGTTGTCCAAAGTTATATAGGAATGAGAGCCTGCTACTAAAAAGCTGTTTGGAAAGAACTAGGCCACATCTGATTTACAGCACTAATGCCTATATCACAGTTAAACACCAAAGTTGGTTGCTTCTAACTTATTAATACCAGTCACCTAACTCATAATTGTGTTCCTCAAAAACAGTTAATATCATGCCTAAATTATTATGTGGGCTGAACTTGGGTCATGAATCAAGTTTTTATAAACTCAGAAAACACATGAAATCATTACTGAATAAAAGAGAATGCTGAATTAGTGTTGCCTATCTAGGGAAGCTTCAATTCTTTCTTATGCATGTCCTAGGATAATAAAACCAGTATTGATCTGTGATGTCCTTTTTATAAAAAGGAAAAGGATATACAGATATGTA